ACAAAAGGAGAATTCCTGCCAACGCATGAGTCATTAGGACAGAACGGAGAATGAAAGTGTATGGAAACTCTAAATCCATTTGCGACAATGGCTTCATGCCTCACGGCGTGCAGTTTTCTTAATGATTTTTATCGAATCTGTTGCAGAGTTTCTTACCTGCCAGTAACAGCACTTCCTGTGCAGGGTGACAACACTAAGCCATTGCTTTACAATTAGCAGCAGCCTCATCAGCCTGCTGTGCGAGCTCCTTTATTTGACCATTGCGCTGGCTATAGGACAGACCTCATGGGCAGTCTAAATAGTCACTTGAAGGATGGCACATGGCAGGCCGACAACGCTGCTGTTAATTGAGAAGCAGAGGCTTACTGTTGTCACCCTTCAACAGGAAGTGATGCAACTGGAGACTTCGGGTTAGAAAATTTGAAAGAGAACATGATCTGTTCACTGATCCATGTAGGAGGCACGCGTTCAAAGTATCCATTAAACAACAATTAAATAAAAAGAAGAAAACAATGCTTAGCCACTTCTAGTAGGGTCACGTAACCTGCTTGAAGTGGTTATACCAAGAACTGCTGCAGCTGTGTTCTTGGTACCCGTTTAAACAGCAGGCGATTGCTGTCTATGTGCAAGCGATCCGGCGCCTTACCCCGTGTGGGCCCGGGACCGGCACAGCGGGTCTCCCCTGACAAGATCGTAGGGAGATCAGCAGCCTTCTAGCCGCTGATATCTCCTCCGATCACCGGAACCGTAAGTGAAGCGAATTATTACATCACTTCTGGTGTCACTGTGCACATTCTCCGGCTCCTAGAGCCAGAAGAAGCTGGTGAAGCTTGGCTTGGCTGAAATCAACTGACCCATGGTGTTCTGGGTATCCTTTGTCATGTATTAAATGTTTTTGTAAATGAGGGTTCTTTCTCCCAGCTTAACGGATGTTGAAATATCAGACACATAGAAAGTAAAACATTTTTCAAAAGAATCGGCCAATGTGGACTTTGTGTAAGGGAGCAGTAAGGCACAACTACTGTGTAATGCTGCAAAGCAGGTAGAAGAGACTGCATACGCAATTAGGAAATAGGGATGCCCCCATGTCCTCGATTATAATCGATTATGTCGATTAGTTGTTGCAGCCCTACCATATAGTATTACAAACCATACAGAGAAATTAAGCTTCAACAATAATACACATTCATGATTCTTGCCAAATCAATTAGATCTGTCAAGATGCTAACCCAAAAACGGTGTCTGGTGGTAGCTCCTCACAGCACCCAACCATAGATCTTGGGTAGCTCCTTGGCTGGTTTCCTCTTCATTCCTGAACATAACCATAGATCTCAGACAGCTCCTTGCCCGGGTTTCCTCTTCATTCCTGAACGTAACCGTAGATCTTCAATATCTCCTTGCCTGGTTTCTACCTCATTCCCGAGACATGACCATAGATCTTCAATAGCTTCTTGCCCATTTCCTTCCCCATTCCAAAAAGCAACCGTAGATTTTGGGTAGCTCCTTGCCCGGTTTCTACCTCATTCCTGAGACATAACCATAGATCTGACAGCTCCTTGCCCGGTTTCCTCTTTATTCCTGAGACATAACCATAGATCTTGGATAGCTCCTTGCCCGGTTTCTTCCTCATTCCAAAAAACAAACATAGATTTTGGGTAGCTCCTTGCCCGGTTTCTTCCTCATTCCTGAGACCTTGGCTCTGGCTCCCTGAAACTTTGACTTAATAAACCAGGAACGTGCTTAGGGCAGGGCTGGGCAAATCCCAGGAGCCAATGCCCCTTGAAAATTACAGCTGGTACCCAACTTCTGAGGTTTTCTTTAGATGTTGTCAATGACGTTGGCTCCCACAAAAAATCCTGGGTTAGTCTGGCCATACACTCTGCGATTTTTCGTTTGAGAATTTTTGTTACTGCCAAGAACCCTCTTTCGATTCTAGCTTAAATAGCCCATCAAGCACAGACCAATGTTGCTACGATAATAGTTTGTTAGCAATACTAACTCACTGAATTTCGTTGATCAACAAAATTGATTTTTGTTTGCGCATGTGCAGAGTTCATTTTGCGTTTTTTTTCCGTACGAAAACACCACTAAATTATCGATTTTCTTACGATTTAAAAAAAAAAAAAAAAAAGTTCTCCAGCCTCACCCTTTGAGAAAATTTAGCCAGGAGTACAGTAAAAAAAGTAATTGGGTTCCCATCAACTGGTTATCATTCGAAAGACCATTTGTGGACAATAATCGATAGGTGTACGGACACCTTTAGACAGACTGGCTTCTGAATTCTATATCAATTTGTCCACCACTAGCTTAGGGCATCAAAAAAGGTGGTCTCCCAATTCTCACCTACCTTACAATTAAGAATTGTCTGGTCAACATGACAGCAGGAGGTGTTCAGTCACCTGCTTGACCCACATCTACCGTGTTTCCCCCGGAAGTAAGACCTGCCCCAAAAGTAAGACCTAGCGCTATCTTCGGGGATTTCTGTAATATAAGACCTACCACCAAAAATAAGACCTAGTTCGGTGGTAGGTCTTATCCCTGAAGATAGCGCTAGGTCTTACTTTTGGGGCAGCTAGACATATAACTGATTTTTAAATGTAAAGACCGGCCGCAGCCCACACGCCAGCTCGCCCGATGGAAGCGGCATATCCTCCGCCAACGGGACCAGCAACAGCACGCCGCCTTCCAGGACCTCATCCAGTCCTGTGAGTATTCCTCCCCCAGCCCGGTAAGACATCCGCCGAAAATAAGACCTAATGTCTTTTTTCGTGCAAAAAAAATAAGACTGTCTTATTTTCGGAGAAATACAGTAGTATAAATGGGCCCCTACCTCCCAGAGGGCCAAATGCCGCACTCACATCTCATCTGCTGCTACCCATGTATTGAATCTGTCCAGCCCTTGGGTTTGAAACTTGTCTGTGGTTTCCGCAATTGGACTCCAATTCTGATCCCAAAAGGACTTTACGTGTTTAAGAAGTGCGACCAAAAACTGCACATTCCCTTTAACAATGACAAATTGTTATTAAATTAGACAGAAAAATCTGTGCCAAAGATTGCCGTACAGCCAGGCCGTCATTACACCCCACCATGCAGAAACCGGCCAAGAAAAGCAATTAATCCAATTACAATCAGCCATTTAGTGACTCGAGTCTCCTGTGCGGACTCAGAAGGCATAATAATAGGCGGCCGATGTGGGGGTAATGCGGCCGGCGGTAGCAAATATAAAGGATCTCCTTTCACAACATACTGAGAAGCAATTACCAGGAACAAACACCGCTATTACCAGCAGCTTTTAAAGGGCAAAGCCTCCTTACTGGCAAATGTCACCTTTTCATAAGAGCACATGAAACAATCCAACACAATGCGCCTTCCGACAGAGGGGTGGGTGTGACCGCGCCGGGTTCTCGCTTCTCCATCCAACGTAGATTCCAAATCCAAATCACTAAAGTCTCATGAAAGCTTTGCCATGTTTATATACCGTAAGTTTAGAAGCGTTCATTAAATCAGGAAGCTGGTCCAGAGCGATGATGTGCATCCAATGCTGAAGCGAGTGGATGTAGACAGGACATGGCTGGAAAAGGGTGCAGGAGATCAGCAGCAGCACCGAGATGTAGCAATAGATGAAAATAAAAAGGTGCAAACACCATTTTATAAATAGAAACGGATGAAATTGTACGATACGCTGGGCTTTTATCAACCCAATTATCATCCAGCTGTGGTATAGATACACTTTAAGGCCCCGTTCAGAATTGCAATTGCGGCAGTCTCAGGAATTACTCCGCGAGACTTGTGGTGGTGGGGCTATACAAAGCAGTGATGGCTGACAGTGCACAGTCATTCACATGTAAATCAGGCATGCTGCGATTACCTGCGGGCGATGACTCACAGACACGGTTTGCATCCCCCCACCCCCGAGCAATTCGCAAGACAGTTCAAATAGCAAGTGATTGAGGCCTAACAGACACAATGAATTCTAGAACATAACCTGTTCGCTTATCCATGCACAGGAAGACTTGCAAAGTATCCATGGACCAATAAATAAATAAAAAAGGTGAGATATTGAATTTCACTGAATTACAGGGAATGTAATCCCATAGAATGCGGGTTCTATGTGCATTCCGCAGACACTGCTGCCTACAGTCACACATGGATACTGGAAGTGTAAACCCACAGAATGCTGACTCTATGTGCGTTCTGTAGACACTGATGTCCACAGTCACATGTATGCTGGTAAAGTAAACCCGTGGAAGGCTGGTTCTATGTGCATTCCATAGACAGTGCTGCCTACAATCACACATGCATGCTTGTAATATAAACCCATGGAAGGTTGTATATACATTCCATAGACAGTGCTGTCTACAATACTAGTCCCCCTACCATTGCAGAACTCTGCTACTGAAAATGCTAGTCCCCCTACCCAGGGCTGTAGCTACCATGAGGCGAGTGAGGCACTCGCCACAGGCGCAGCTAAAAGGGGGCGCAGCCAGGGCTGACTTGGCTGCGCCCCTGTTTCCATGGCAAACAGAGGGCGCCATTGGCAACGGGCCCAACACAGCCATGGCTCGGCGGGGAGAAGAGGAATGCAACAGGCTCCAGCTTCTCCTCGGATCCCTGCTGCTCTCCCCCACCTGTATGGGCAGAGGACTCTGTGTCCTCAATCTTTTTTTCTATTTCAAAAGAGAAATGTCAGGGGTCTGTTTAGACCTCTGATATTTCCACGAAGCCCCCCCAACATTC